TGTGATCTTCCAGAATACCAACCATTCGCCATAACTCCCTCTCACCGTCGAAAGTAAAAGCTTTGAGACAATTACACGCACCAAGTCGTCAGTGAGGACGGAAATAAAGGCGGCCTCAGAACTGAAGTTCGTAGAACACTGTATTCCGTCTCAGTCGGATCATATAATAGGCATCCTAACCCACATATACAGTCACCGCTAAAAAAGGAAACTTTCAACCAACCTAAGGACAGGATTCCCAACTCTGTAGCTTTGTAGCTCATGAAGAAAGATCTTGTGCTACATGAAGTTGAAGGACTTGAATGAGGCAATTAGGTTCAATTCATTCTGGTCCCAAGCTTCGCTAGTTCGGTCGATCTACTTCATGTACTCACCAAGTTGAAAGCATGACCGATGTTAGTGGAAGTCGTGAAGCTGCGGCACTATCATGTTGAATTCCTCTAACAAACAGTAGTGTCTCAACAACGAGCGCTTCCACCATATTTGGAAGCATCGGGAGGAGAATCATTGGGCCAGAGCGTCACAGAACTTGCTCTTCTTGGACAAACAGTTTATACGACAAGGCAATCTAAGCGAAAATGACAGCATAATTAGTCGCTAGAAGCATGCATATATATATATATATATATATATATATATATATATATATATATATATATATATATATATATATATATATATATATATAGCTTCCATAACAAACAACACTTCTGCATTCATGAAATTCTTTCTTTGATTAGCCAAACAAAATCCAGCGCAGCCAAATATTAAACAAGCTGCCTAGAGGCGGAGATGCGTAGACATTCAGTCATCTGCTCCGTTCGTTTGCGAGGATACAGCTGTTTGCTTCGTCGCCCAAATCCGTCTCGTCTCTCTGGTTGCACAATCCCGTCACAGATAGTTAACTGCATCGAACGACGATCGCTTTAAAAATTAGGTAATGATATTCTGCCTTCGACTGATAGGGAGCTGATGCTCATACCAGCACGCTTGCAAGAATGGCGTCTAGCTCCGTAGCGGCCACCTCTAATTCCTTCGAATGTGTGTTACTAGCCCCGGGAGAAATGTAAGTGACCAGCGATGGCGATTTTTCAAATACAAGCACCGAACTAAGTCTGACGTGAACAAATAAAGCTAAGAGAGGTGTAAGAGACAAACGTTGTAGGAAAACGTTTGGGGTCTGTAGATCAAATAACTATAATTGCACGCCAGCTGGGTCATCACAGCAGGGAAAGGCAAGATGAATGCTGACGAACTTGCACACCAGTGAATGTAAGCGCATCAATGAAGCTCCGAGAGGATTCATTCCGCAGAGATGACAGCACAGTGACCAACATTCCGGTGTCACTGAGGCCTGCATCACTAGGTAAGTTGTTGGAACTGGACGTGTTTGGCGGCACCCGGTTTCGGATTAGCCGATCACTGCGGCCTCAATAAGGCAGGGATATGACTCTTGCGACTACAGAGGGACCGTGTGTGGTTTGCGCTGCACCACCCACAGCTCCATCCACACACCCCATACGCAGTGTAAACCCGAAAAATTAACACGGGGAGCGTGTGGATGGGAGCCACGTTTCATCAACGTGACCGGCCCTCACCCTTACAACGTACACAGCAACAGCATACCTGTCTGTCTAATTTGGGGATCATGCGTACCAGACAAACACAAGGCAGTGGCTGGGCAGTAGTCCGTTCCACACAGGATGCGTTGAAAGGCTCACTGAGCATAGCAATGTCGTGATGATAGTGCATGCCGTCTGCCCAAGCAACGACCAGCCGTCTCCTGGAGCCAGTATAACCAAGTTTTTACGGGTAGTCATCTTGTCAACATTCACTCCAAGCGCAGCCACAACGGGGATATCAAACAGCAAACCAATACTATTGGGGAAAATAAACATGCAAAGTGGACAGTAGAGATGCGGCAGTATAATAGAACAGAGCAAATGACAACCTGTGTATTAACTCTGCTCCAGCAGAGGGGTGATTTGAGCAAGTGTAAGTTAGGGGATATCAAACAAAAAGGAAAAAACGCGAAAAATAAGCAGCAAATTAACAGAACAGAGCAAATAAAATGGATTCAGACAAATATAGTGTAATGGGGAACAGGCTTAAATGTAAGTCACTCTAGCGCGAATGTGAAGAAGGAGCATAACAAATACAATATTAACCTCAAAAAGGCACATGGATATAGTAGCCTTTATACGGCCGTTTTTCCCTTAGCATCAGCTTTTCTTCAAATAACCGTACATGGGCTCCCATGTGTCGTTATCACGGGGCGCCTTTGAAACTTCATCAGTCCATTCAACTTGAAGACAAGCGTTGAAGATCAATATCCCGTAGAGAGCTAGCTGCGCGTAGCTTCTGCTTTTCTAGCATAACAAACGTGGGTACTAATTAAGAACTAGATGCCGGTAATGTGAGGACAAGCGAAAAACAAAAGCACCGACTGTTCTTTCCAATTAGATGGCTGTCGATGCCTCCATCCATCATTAGTCGTAAAGCTGCAGAACGCATTGCAAGCACAAACGCGCACAAGGTAGACATTGACCCAGTTGGGGCGAAGGGGGGAGAATGAAAGTGAGCTCGGAGAGTGATTTGTTTACAACAGGATATCCATTGTCCCTCCCCAGACAGACGCTTTCTGTTTCATACACCTCGTAACCATTAGTAGAATAGACGCAGGCCACATCTTCGCCGTAAGCATCGTTAATGAAAGCCATGGGTGATCAGAGACGCATAGAAGCGACCGCAAATATAGTGGTGACCCGAGGCACTCTTTTACCAATCTGATGTGCATCTTGATTTTTCAGTCTCCAGCTTCGATAATCTGTAGGTGTAAACGTACCGGAATCCAGTAACCACGCTTCATGAACACTAAGCCGTACCCATGACAACCGGTTATTTTCAAACTCGAAACTTCTCAGCGCCCCGTGTCTGAAATTTTCAAATTTGGTATAGCCATTCGCAGACAAGCTATAGTGTGCGGACCTGTACCACACATTATCCATAGCATATGATGTGCTGAAGGTGGTTTGGATTTAGGTGAGCACGACGTAAGTCACAATGTGTTCTACTTCATGTCTTGATATCAAGGTACTAACGTGGGAACTGCAACGTGCTCCTCAAAGTTCTCTTCATTCACTTTGATGTAAACGGCATTTTACTTCAACTCCTTGTATGCTTACAGCGATCTTTCCAGATGGACCGTAGAGCCCTCAGTTGCTATCATCAACTGGTTGTGATCGAGGTAAATATCGGTAATTACTCTCGGGCCATCATTGATCGTGCTTAGTTAAAAGGCTCCTTAGCAGTGCCGCCAAATGGGATTGAGATTGATAATTTCGACAGAGTGGCCGGGGATTTGAATACTATAAGTTGTAAGTGTGATTGAGCTGCGCAACACCACGTTTAATGACTTAGCTATCTCGGTCGATGTCTTCCTTCTTGTTCCAGTGGTCTTGTGGTCTTAACCACGGGCTAGTTAGAGTAATCCAACAGGGAACAACTGAAAGGTGCACTGCTGACGATACCCGAGAGCATGAAATGGCCGTATCATGCTTTCTCCGAAGCGTGCTGGCTGTCTGAATGAGTCTAGATGAGAAGACTTTTCATTGGCGCCATTCCTGACTTCACCATAAACGGCATAGAGGGAGATAAGTGCTCGATCGAGAGGCCAGTTCGTGAATCCCATCTATGAACGACCACGAGTTGTGTACCTCAAAAGTTTCGCCCGCCCCGTGATTAGGATGCATAGGTTAAAGTAGCTTCCCCAGTTAACCAACCGGTGACCAGACCATTGGTAGTCAACAAGGAAATATGCCCCTAGGTTTCGTGAGAGAACGACTCTCAATGCGCTCAGTTTTCTATTCTGGCGCAGAAACTGCCACTCATCGGAACAGTGGTAGCTTTAGGAGTTGGTCATCTGACGGAGTGAAACAGCAGCACTGTGGAGTTGTTGAATGACAAGGTAAGAATACCGGTATTTATTCCCGTGCTGCTGTTGACCCCTATCTCAACCAGTTCTTCATCAAGTGAAACAAGATTAAGCCATGGTCACACGCAGCGGCACGACCCGAAACTACAACAGTCGAAAGCACAAAAGATTATCTCCTTGTACATACCATCTTAGGCCAATCCGGATCCGACATAATAAGTGTGTTCGAAAAACCACTATGATTTCCTTCTACTTAGGGATACAATACATCGGAACCAGTGCCGTGTTGCTTTTGAGGACTACGCACATAAAAGTTCCTGCCTGGTGCATGTTGAAGCCACTCCCTATTGTTGTGGCGCGATGAGGGCGCACACTCAACACGGCTTCGACAAATGGAGGACGAGAGTACATAACTGCAGAAATTAAAAAGTTTCCCTCCAGAAACACGGAGAATATATATTGACATAATATATTTTCGGCGTCGGAAGCAAAGTTGAATAGGCTCTCCTCTGATTACCGAAATCTTAAAACCGGCTGTACGCAGACGCCAAAACAACGCGAAGCTTGTAGGGCTCACCCCAGATAGGACGTTTGAGTCAGCTTTGTTGTTCACAATTTGTCGTAATCGCTAATGCCGTCCAGTAGTTTAAAAATAGTTTTCCCCTCCGCACTATTGAATTCCGGGTTGCAGCAGGCGGCGGTTCAAACCTTGCACATATCATCCAGGTGAGGACAGTCTGCTGTGCATAGTAGATCGAAGAAGATCAAGCCCTACTTAACCCAGAAGCCGTGGACTAAATGGTGTGTAGCATGCGTGTGAACCTGAACTTTATCACCTGGGTAGTGCAAGCGGAGTCAACAAGCCTTGAACAAGTTAACCTGCACTAAAAAGTGATTACTGCTCAGTAACCCCTTAGAGGTTGGTTGCCGTTGCATTCACTAAAAGTGTAAACTGCCTGATATCACATGTTTGGATTGAGCAAAATGTGAAGGACAATCGGATTTGGAAGTTACTGCGGAGAAACCCCTCAACAAAATGGAAAACTTCTTTACTCTAGATACTCACTTCATCGTTTCCGATCTTCTGAGTCCAAATCTGAATTCAGTAATCGTGATCCACTGATACTCTGAAATCTGATCGGGGACAAATGGTCGCTTAAATAGGGTTTCGGGTTTGCGACAGTATCAACCAACTCGGTCGGATCTTAGCAAACAATGCTTGACGATTGGCTGGATCAACTCACTACATTTTCCCCCTCAAACGACGAAACCTGATAGGAGCGCCTTCTGACAGTCGTCTCACCGCAGTCACCAAACGAATGAAATGTGTGAAAATCATAAATGGTGAGTTCGCTTTCCCTATATGAAAGACAGCCGTCCTACAAAAATGAAGGAAGCGGTGCCATACTAGGATATTGTAGCTTCGGGGATGAACAACGTCATGACGTTTTACTCCCGTCGCTTAAAATCCAACTAGGTCAGGTTGCTGGTATTTCTTTCGAGATTCGCTGTACTACAAGGATTGGCTCACACATTATATCCCTGCTGAAGTAAACAAAATGAGGTACAAGCAAATTCACATATGAACAGATATCAGAAATCACTTCAGGGTAAGAATTATTTTTGGTAAACCCTCATCAGACCCAAACGTTTGCATAGCACTGCTTGTGGGGAAAGCGTAAACTCGGGCTGAGATTGACTTCTGGGCTGTTTGAACGATCAAAATCTATAACTTGAGACAGGAATACAAATGGTGAATCAAGCGAAATAAATAAACAGGCATACACAAAGCTTTGTGTATGCTATTGATTCATATTAGTTAAATGGGAACATTTGCTTTGCTGACGACCAGCATTGCCCGTGATTCATTGAAATTCATGTGTCACCAGCTGTATTCCAACAAGCTGGTGAAAACATGAGCTTGACGTACTTTGGTCAACTGGAGTAGAAGACTTAGGACTTTGCTCTGTAGTTCATGACGAAGTAATTGTATGGACCCCCTGGGAACCACTTGAGAGAAAGCCACAATTCGTGTTGGGCAACACCCAATAAACTGCCACATTCAACGGGAAGCAGGGCGCAGTACTGACGAAGGCAGTTAGTTATAACTCAATAAAGCAACCTGACTACCTTGATGAAGAACGAGGATGACATGCAAACACAGTGTCGACTTTGCTGTGGCTACTAGAACCTCAGCCCGATCGACTACGATGCGTAAAAGCTAAATGTGGGACCTATAGCACGGGACCTGTCGACTTCTTCATCTGCATTTTGCATTATGTTAGTGGTGGCAGGTATCGGACCAACGAAGGACGATCCACTGCAGGATATCTAAGAGGAAAGGAACACTGGGTAAGCTCAGTCTACCACGCTTCACAAAATATTGCTGATCCCGAGGAGCACAGGTTGTAAAGTGGTGCAGATGTGTTCTTTTTGTAGGAAAACGCGTTACCCATCAGGGAGAGGGGGCTAGAATTGATACGTTGCCCTAATAATTCGGGTCTAAATAAGTACTCATGAGTACAGCGTATACTCTGTCGGGCAATAGCCAAGACGACAAGAGAAATACGTGTGAACAGGATACGGTGAGGCAGGGAGGTATAAGTGAACGTACGACTGCTTGCGTGTATGTAGCCATGGAATCAAAATGGAACAGCAAAGTGGCCTTTGGGTGAACATGTGACCTCACTGCCACCTCTGAAACAGTTCCAGCTATTTACAGTTGATTTATTTGGGATGAGGTTTCATTGCTTCGGTGGAGTCCCGCTCACTCGTTTGTACTCTTTGTTCTCAGTAGACTACTCATTGTCGGAGTAAAAAGCTTTCTGACTCTTTTGATATGTCAATGACCAGTGGTCGAACGTGAGTTGAATTGCAATAAACAACATGGCGGTCCAGAAGTTGCTGGTCGGTCTGAGTTTTAGACAGAGGAACGCATTCACCGGCTACCATTGCATTTCAGGTGGTAATCGGATGTTACTGTTTCCAAAGCTGCCATCCTTCTTTGTCTGCTCCGAGCATACAGAATCATTGTGTCTCGCTTATCGTCTGAAGCGTGGGTTTGGTTTATCCCGAGACTCCTGTCAAACAATACTAATGCACGGGTTTACTCATAAGCTCTGTGGGTGTGGAACGACATGTGAAAAGGAAAGCATACAACTTTGTAAGCTCTATGCCTAAGGTTGCAACAGCCTTCACCTCAATGTCTGCACCACCCGTTCCGTTAAACTGTTTAAGGACACACGATAAGGGGCTTCTCTGATTAATCGACTCCCATGATTAGCAATGAGACGATTAAACATAGTATTAACAGAAGGTGAATCACTTCTCTTGTATACGGTCTCCGAGATGCCAAACAAGTCTAAGGAAGAACGCATTTTTATGGTGTTGCCTCTAGAAGCCGTTTGGGTTATGGGGCGCATTTCGGTCCACCTGAAATTGGCATTAATAGGTAATGGAAACATAGCCCCAGTAAGCACAGTGAAGTGGTTAGCCTGGATCTCTTCTCACTGTTAGTCGAGCGAATGCCACAAGGATAATGATCTCGGTGTCGTGGCACATTGGTGTGTTTGTCAAATATCCCATTTCTTCAGCATGTTTCTGCGTTTGAATCGATGCACTGTGGCTGGCAATGCCTTCTCACTAGTAGCTTCATTCATCCGATGCCTGGGGATCAGCACGCAACTCACATACTCGTGGATAGTCATTGCCAAGTATCAGCAGAGAACACAGGAACACCCAATCATTGTTCCTGTGTTGTATAATGTTTGCAAGCCAGTATTACCTTCGAATAACCATCGGAACATTAGATACCACTTGACTGTTGATAGAATTTGGTAACCGTTCGTTAATATGCGGATTGCAGAACTTCTTAGAGGCGTCGTGCACAAGCTATTCAAGTTAGTAGAAATGTTTTGTGTTTGCGTCCCCGGAACTGGTAGACGGCTCAGGGTATCAACTCTGTCGCCGCTGACCCGAAGAATGCATGTAAGTTTGCGACTGTATGGGGCTCAACATTGATGTCCAACTCCGTATTCTTGGAGAATGTATTTTCTGGATAAGCTTGCTTTCATTCAACAATGAGTTCGAAAAATTCCCCCTAGGTGCAAGTGAACTTACGGAATGAACTTACTGACAAACCTACTCCCAAGATTACCGAGCAAATTTCCCTGTTCAGTTGTGAATAGATTTTTTATGACCGACGCAGAGTGTATAATGCAAATGCTATACAATGCATAGATTTTAGATTTATGGACTGCCATAGAAGACTGCTGGCACTCCAAGCAGATGCGTCATACCGCCGAACGAGTGGCTTGTTAGCATCGTAATGAACTAGCAATGGTGAGGATGCAAGGGCATGCTTGGCTTTGGAAAAGCTATTTCTTAGATGGGAACCTCAACAAGATGGCACGTTTAGATGAAATAACCCCCTCACTGAACACAAAGTGGATGGGTGGTACACTACCCCTAAGTAGTGTAGAGGGTACGCATATGTGTGATGGAGTCGGCCATGACTGTAGGCCAAAGTACCAAGGCTGCGCTATGGAGGAAGTCGCGCTGCAGATCAGAAAGACAGAGTGACGCCATGGATGGGGCGTACAAATGAGCATGGCAGCAATAAGCTCGACACCTATACCACATCGTTGTCGCAATTAACAACCAGTCGGTACCGTGTTGGGTACCCAAAAGATGCACTAGACAAGATGTGGCTGTATTGAAACGGCATTCCTAGGAATAAAAGGAGCTCGCTGCCACATCACGACCCAGGAATTTCAAAAGTAGGGTTTATCTTTATTTTTAGAATATGTGAGCTAGTCCTTTGAAGCCAAAAGAAAGGGGCACAGGACTTCGCCGGATTTCCTAAATTTAAACCAGTTTCGTGTCAATTGCTCGATATTATTCAGCGTCAGAACGTCTGACATTTACTATATGTATCGTTTAGCTAGTCATCCATAATTCTCGGAAAAATAGTAGGGGCGGAGCTGATTACAAATGTTAACTCAGTGTATTGGCGGTGAATCCATTGTGCCCGATAAGGTTTGTCAAAAATTATTTGTAAGCGTGCGTGACTGAGATGGAGTTTGGTCAACTTTTCGCTGTATGCAACTGTTACCCACGAATCTCTATTGCACCGTCAAGTGCATAGGACACAAATAGAAGCCTGGTTGATGCTTTTCTTGTAGTCGCCGCAAAGTCGCACGGAACAATTCGGATTGGTCACAGATGTGATTGATGCCTGCTACGAAGCTGTTGTATTTCAGCCGAAGCTTGCGCAAATATCACATGAGCCTGGTTACCTAACATGCTTGGCAATAGTGTCGCCATGCGGCAGCTCGAATTGCGCAGGTCAAAACTATGCTCTCCTCATGGACACCGTTGCACCGTGCCAACACAAACCGCACAACGTACAACTCAAACCCTCAGCAATGACGCCATTCGTATGTACGCAATCAAGCCACACAGATTTCATATAAACACTTCCCGTTTACGCTGCTGTATCTACCGCCTCAAGCAGCAATGCCCTCAACCGCGCTTTCTGTAGTGATATTGTCACCACCTGTTACGCAGGTGCCGTACTGATATCCACCTTCCTCCCTAGTTTGTGTCTTAAGCTGCGACGCAATTGAGCTACAAATGCAAAGGTGCAGTAGGTACGTTTGACTGTGGCTGAGTCAGTAAACGGCCAGTCTTTTTGGGTCGCGGGTGCAGTCGCACTGAGTTACGCTCTTTGTCCGCAGTCTCAGATCCAGTGTACAAACATCTGGCGGCTAGGTCCTTAAGGCTGTGCCAATCCAAATGCTATCAGTTACGTAACGAAACTCGTTTCCTCCATTCCAACGAGGAGAGTCTAAATAACCATGACGTTATAACAGCCTCGCAGTCTGAGAACTGCATGGGAATGATCACACTCTAAATTTGTAAGCGGGTCAGTTCCTCTTCAACCAGGGACCCCACAGCGTAGGATGGTGCTTGCACCATGATGAATTTTGACAGGAAGCGCTCTCCCCGCCGTAGTGTAACTTGAAGCCATTCTAGCCTCCCAACTCCACAGCAAAGACGTCCAAGTGCTGTCTGACCATTTCATCAGTTCCAAAGACCTCGACGGATGTGTAGAAAG